ATCAGTCAGTCAGAAATGATCAGGACGTCCTTCTCTTAGAAGGACTGGTTTGGTTATTTCTATCATTCATTATTATTTAGTTCTTTGAACCTGGTGTCCACAGAAGTTGCCCTCTATAATAAACTGCCCCCATCTGTACAGAGAGGGATTTGAAATGCATATAGGTGCCAGGCCAGGCAGAAGGAACCATGTCAGTGGGTTGCCTGAGAGTGCTGTGGGTATTTGGAGGAAGAAAGGGTCACTTCTAGATGGGGGGTAGGGCAGACTTAGTAGAGGAGGTTACTGCTCCAGTCCGAAAGGACAGATGCAAATTGTGATGAAGAAGATAGGGCACTCCCTATCTTCCCTACAGAGGTAATGGCCCAAGAAGAAGTCTGGAGACAAGAATACTAAGGTAAAAAGCCACTTCTCTCGAATCTAGAAAAGGCCAGAATTGGAATAGGCCTCCCTCTGAGCCACCTGCCTCCTTTTCTGCCACCATACATCTACACTCTCTAGCATGCTTTTACAGGTGATTGTTACCTGGGAGCAAGGGATGGCATGGGAGAGGGGTGGCCTCAGGACCTATCCCTGGAGAATCTTGGGCCTATGATGCCCTCAGCAAGATCATCCATGTAATGTGCCCCCTCCTGCCACTTCCCCTTACCTGCCTCTCCGGTTGGCCAAGGCTCAGTGCTGCTAATTAGCAGCAATCAGCTCAGCTCACCCAGCCCCACCCTCTGCCAGGACGAGGCTGATCACTGAGGCTTCCTTTCCCTCCTGCAGGGAAGGCACAGCAGGAAGCTGGAGGCAGGGGGCAAAGGGAGAGAGTAGCAGCTCCAGGGGTTAGCTGAGGTGGATAACAGAGAGGGAATGGAGGTGTTTGAGACGCAACAGTGAAGCTCAAGGAGCTTCAGGCCTCTCTGGCTCCTGCTTGGGTGGGGCCTCTGCAATAACAAGAAATCCTAGCAAGAAAGTGCTTGTAAAAGCCCTTTTCCCATAGTGTCTCATTAGTTTAGTCCCTGAGCAGCTACAGCAGACAGGTATCAGCAGCAGCAGTAGTATCATTTAATGTCTTTTTCCTTGCTCAACTTTAAGATTCACAAAGAAAGGGACCATGTCCATCTTGTCACCCCTGTGTATCCTCTGCATTACATAAGGTGCCCAGCACAGAGTTGGCATTCAACAAATAGTTGCCAGGTGGGTGGGTGGGGGATGGAAGGATACGCCAGGCAGGCAGATAGGTAGATGGTTGCTTATCCCATTTTACAGATTAAGAATTGGAGGCAAAGAGAAAAAAAATGACTTATCAAAAAGCAATCAGGCAGCTAGTAGCAAATCAGTACCAAGTCCCAGTTCACTACCTCCCCATCTGGCACGTCTCCCAACACCCAGAACCATCTCCTTTAACTTCTTGAACATGCTCAGCCAAGAACATTCCATCCTACTGAAGCCCTGATTCCAATGGTTCCTTGCCAGTACAGCTCCCACAGTGAGAACAGGACCCCCAGAGCCCAGTGACCATGGGTGAGAGACAAGGCAGCCTTGTGTGGTCATAACCATTCTGGAAAAACCTGATTATTGGCTGGAGAGATAGGTGGACAAGGGCATCTGAGCAGAAGCCCCCACAGAAGGATGGATACCCATGGTGTAGGGTGACATCGCAGGACTTGGAATTACGTGAATGCTAGCTAACAATCCCAGGGCATTCCCTCCCGCAAGCTCTGCTTTTGCCTAGTTGTTAGTTTACTCACCAGGAGGCCACCCTTCCATCATCCTCCTCTCTACACAAGAAATCCCAGCTTCCGGCTCTCCAGTCTCAGATTGCTATCACCACCATGGATGAATGATGCCAATTACACATGTCCCTCTGGAGGTTCAATCACAAGGGACAATGGGAGAAGCCCCAGCCTTATCCCAGGTCTGCACCTTCATTGCTGTGGAACCTGAAGCCCCCAGTATAAACATAGACCAGGCCCCTGCCCTGTCCCTCCCTACAGCAATCAGAAGTTTCCTTGCTGCAGCCTCCCTGCTTCACCTCCACCATGCCCACCATCCTAGGGCCAGGAGCTCTTCCTGACTACCTAGTTCTGCCACTGCACCATGCCCAACACCAAGACAAGGCCCCTTCTCCTTCGACTCCCTTCGAAGCAAGTCCTGTCGCTTCCCAGAGGCTTCCCTGTCGCTTCTCCAGTTTCTCACGTAGACCCAGGCCAGGCCATCGGGTCCCTGCTGTACCTGTTGTCCCTCTTTCCCTTTAGTTTTCTAAAACCTCAGACTTCTGTGCCCAGACCACGCCGGACCTTTTACTTTCGGCCCAGTAGCCCTACATGCCCCCAGTATGCTTTTGGATTTCAGGGAGTGTGTGCACTTTATAGAAAAAGGAACCATAGCTAGAGGGGCCCCTGGGCTCAGAAAGTTTGAAATTCACTGCCTGGAGGTTCCATCCTACCTTCCACCCTGCCTTTGACAGGTTCACTGTGTTGTAACTCAATGTGAATTTTGATTCCCCCAGCCTGGGCTGCCATGTATGTGAATTTCAAGGGCTTTGCCACTTAGTCACCTCAACACTGTAGACTTCAGTCCCTTCCTCTTCAGCACAAGGCTTGGCCTCATCCCCTCATATCTCCATCAGGGGCTTAGTAGTTAAGCAGGGGCAGCTGCTATTCTTTCCACTAGCCTCCTCCAAAACACAGCCTCTGGGCTGTAGCTTAGGCAGCCCTCACAGGTATACTAGATGACAAATGGATTCTACACAAAGAAGATGCCGTGTCAATGCTATGGTCAGTTTGGGGTCAGAAAGCCTGCAGTCTCAGCAGGTAGAACTGGGAATCCAGGTAAAAGTGGGGCTCCCCAGAATCCTAGAGTTAAGGGAGCCAAAGAGACCATTTGATTCAGCCAGTGATTCAAAAAACTATTGCTTTAGCCCCTTCTAGGTAGCCAGTATGGGACATACAAACTGACGAGATATGGTCCCCTGCAGTGATATTAGATTCCCTCCACTCTGTAGCAAAGGCATCTGGTGCCAGAAAGGTTAATGTCTAAGGTCAAACAGTTGGCAAATAAAGGAGGTAAACTAAATGAAACTCAACCCTGGCTTCTTAGGTTGGGTTAAGCGTTCATTGCTGCACATGCCTCCAGTGCAGTAGTCCCAAGTGTGACTCCACAGGCCACCTCGAGGCCAGCCTCTGTGCCCTACACTAAAGGTGGCAGGAAGGATTGCTTATGAGTAGGTAGACACTGGCTTTATCCAGTCTCTGCTTTGCCTGAGGCATATACAGGTTCCTGGCAGAGAAGGGTGGGAGAGAAGCTGGGAAGCCACAGCCTGTGCATGCAAATGAGGCAGCTGCATAATTAATTAACATCAAACAGTTTCATTAAGAGATGGAGCTTTGCGGCTGTTTGTCTTTAAAAAAAACTGGAACAGCAGGAAGAGGACAGAGAATGGAGGTACAGGCTCCTCAGGCCCAACTCAGAAGCTAATAGTCCTGCCCTTTGGGGGTGCTGACAAGATCTATTAGAAGAGGTGGCCTAGGATGGCTTCAGTCCCCAAGTTTTAGACTGGAGCTTCCTGGAGGTCCTCTTTCCCTCCTGGCAGGGATGATATACCCGCAACTGTCAGCTCCCTAGGAATTGTACCAGCCACCTCCGTCTGGGCCTCCTCCAAGAGCAGAGGCTTGGGAAGGAAGGTGGGCACTGCTTCCCCAGAGCAGCACAGCCAGAGCTCACTGGGAATAGATTCCCAGCATTTGAGCAGTGGCTTCCCTAAGGAGGGGACAGATGTGCTGTACGGTCTTGAAACTCAGAAGCTTTGCCTCCAAAATGGGCTCAAAGCCCCGGGAACGAGAAAATCTGTTTGGAAAACCAAACCAGGGGACCTGTTTATCCCTTAATCTCCAGCTCCAACCCTCCACCCTGTTCTTTTTCTCTCAGATACAAAGGGGGAGGGAGGAGGATGAGAAGCTCCTTGCCAGGCCTGCTAGAACCTAATGCCACAGGCTGGAGCCTCTCTGGGTACCAGGCATGGGTGTGCCCCCGCTTTGTCCTGGCTAAGTCCCTGTGGGCCAGAAGAGTCACCTCTCAGGAGAAATCCCTCCAACTCTTCATGATCCAGCTCTGCTTCTCCCTCTAGCCATCTCCCTACATTCACCCTGTTCTCCATCCATATTCCTTTCTGCTCCTCTAGCAGCCATGGCTTCTCACACTACTGTGGGATGGATTGCCTTCTTACCCTCTCTTACCTACCCAGCATGCTCCTCATCTTTCCGTGCCCAGTGTAAACACGCCCTCTGCTGTTAAGCCTTCCCCAACTCCTACCTTTCCTACCTCTTCCTTCCCTACAAGGTTAAGTATTTTCTTTCCCGTTTTCTGCATCACCTGTGTTGTCATTATTTGTTTCCTTGTCAGATGCTGGCAAAAAAAAATGCACTCCTTGAGGGTACCTACCATATCTTTCTTCATCTCTGTATCATTAAGACCTGGGCTAGACTTTAAAGTTTCTCCAATGAATATGTGAATAAATCTTTTGAACTGGAAATGATCACAGATACCTCATCCAAATGCCAGACTCTTGGTAAATGTCTCAACCATTCAGAACAAGAAATTTATTCTCTTCCTGAACATACATCAAATCCCTGTGATAGAGGTCAGGGGTGGGAGAGACCCTCATTGGGCTGGGTTTGCAAGATCATAAACCCAAAGACAAGTGCCAGTTCCCACTGGGGTAATGCCTTGCACTGAGCAGCTGAGCACAGAGCGTCTCAAAGGTTAAGGGCACTGGGCTGAGCCCCTGGATCCTCTTCCTGAGTTGATGGGCACACTGTTCAGAATGGGGAGTGACTGGAGGGATCCCAGTGCTTCTGGTCTTCCTACTCAAGGGCGCCGCCACACCCTGAGCTCAGGCAGCTTCTCCCCAGACCTGCCCTCTGGCCAGGAACCAGGAGGCACCAAACCTCCAGCTGTCTACCCCAGGGGCTCTGCCCCAGCATCCTCCTTCCCACCTCCTCTTCTTTCTTCCATACCTGCTGACCCTTGTGGCTTCTGTCTTCCCTGAGATGGCCAGAAGGGAGAGGATCCATTCTAAATTAACAAGGTTATTAGCAGTTAATTACCTGAGGTATCATTGTAATTGAAAAGAACAAGAAAAGAGGCTCATAAACACTCCCATCCTCCCATTCTGCCTCCTATTACGGGGGAGGTAGCAAAAAACAATGTTCTGCCCTATACAAGGCCCTGCCTGGACCACCACCTCTGCTTTCTCAGCCTACACACACACACACACACACACACACACACACTTTCCTGGGAAGATTCAGGAGCTGAAACCAGACCCAAGGAGAGCCAGCTGCCCACTCCACAGACATTCCAGAGAGGTTCAGCAACAGCCATAAAAATGCAGAGAGATTTATTTCATATTGGGAGTGTGTGAGGTGGAAGCACAAATCTAAGACCTCACATCATTATTTTTAGTGATTTTTATCTCAGATTGTCCTGTTATTCTACAATTAAGGGTAGTGGGTATATGTCAGCAATATTGATTTTTTTTTTATCCCAAATTTTCTGCCACTAGAGATACACTGCAACCAAGGATCATTCCCCTTTCCTCCCTCCTCCTGCCCCTGGCAGGGCTATAGCCTTAACAAAGGCACTGCTGGGTGTCTGCTGTGAGCCGCAGGGTGTGGATGCTGGCAAGATGATGCATGGAGGGTGAACTGAGAGCTCCAAGTGGGCAGGCAGCACCCAGCTGCTTCAAGCCTTGGAGCTGTGCTGACTCTCCCCAGCCTCCAGCTCCCGCCCTGGCCCCCTCTCCCTGCCCCTTTCCTATCCCTTAGCAAGGCCCCAGCTTCCTCTGCCTTAGAAAATGCCCTCTCCTGAGCAGAACCTGGGGTGTTCCTAGGGTACTCTGGGGATTGTGGAGGGTGTAATGGAGTCAGCTGGGGCCCTTTGGGATGATCAGCGGCTCCCTACAAGGCACACATGGGTTCTGCAACATGCTGTATTCCAGGCAGCTCTGCCACTGACTTTGCCCATCTCTGCACTGCAGGTGAAATGGTCTTTCTAAAACAATTCTAGCTGTTTGTCTCCAGGGTCTCACTATGTAGTTCAGGCTGGCCTTGAACTCACTGTGCAGCATAGGCTAGGCTCAAACTCCTGCCAATCCTACTTTAGCCTCCTGATTGCTGGAATTACAGGTTGACTAACAGGCATCTCTGGACAGTTGCAGCTTCTGCCAACCTGGGAAGTTGCTTGGGCTATTGGCTCCCTCCCCAGGCCAACCTGTACAGTCTGCAGATACAGCTTCCTTGATGAAAGAGAGGATCCTCTTGGAGGAGGTGGGCTGGTCGCGAGAAGAACCAACCAGGGCCTTACAGCTAAGAGTTTGCCTTTAGTCTCAGAGGAAACTTTGGAGTTAGATTTTTCAGCAATGCTGGAACTGTTAGAATTTTGGGAACTCTAAGAGTTGGACTAAATGCATTTGGCATAAAGTGATCCACAAGAAGCTTGGCGTGGTGGTATCCACCTGTGATCCCAGCACTCAGGAGGCTGAGACAGTAGGATCACTGTGATTTTGAGGCCAGGTTGGGCTACACCACACTTCAGGGCCATCCTGAACTACACAGTGAGATCCTGTTTCAAAAAATCAAAACAAACGAACAGCAAACAAATAAACAAAAAATACCAAAAAAAAAGCAAAGAGATGCACAAGAACCAATAGATGGAGGGATGAAAGATTAAGGGGCATAAAAAGAATTAAGATGTGTAATGTACATATCCCAATTCCCCACTGTGAATGTAACCATTATGCACTGCAAACATGTACTAATGAAAAGAAAAAAGAAAAAAGAAAAAAAAAAAACACTTCTTGCATGTCCCCTGCATAAAGCCCTTCCTTCCTTCTTTCTTTCTTCCCTTCCTTTCTTTCCTTTTCTTTCTTCCTTTTCACTTTCTTTTCTTTTTCTTTCTTCCCTTCCTTCCTTCCTTCCTTTTTTTCTTCCTTTATTTTTCCTTCTTCCTCAGGGCCCACAAAATAGCAGAAAGATCCCATGGAATAAAAGATGCTTCAGCCCTATTACTCCCCAGTACAATCTATCTTCCAGCCATCCCAAACCCCTCCCCATCGTCTGAATGTCTATTCTGCTCCTCCTCTGGACCTCTGCACATGCTGTCCCTCTTGCTATCCCAAAACAGCTCAAGCTCTTTGAAACCATCCACAGCTTGTCATTCCTAGTGCTTGGTATACAGAAATGATGCCTTGTTTGAATGGATGATGAAGACAGGAAAGGATAAGTGAAAAATACCATGAAGGAGAGTTTTCCTCATTTTAAAAGTGAGGAAACAGATTCAGAGAGGTGAAGCAACTTGCCCAAAGTCACACACAACCAGCACCCTTTGCTGCCTCAGAAGAGCTCAGGAAGATCCCCGACAGAAGAGAATGAGAACCCAGGAGTGGTCTGGGCAGCACGGGGAAGAGGTAAGCAGCGGTTGGAGAGAGGTGCAGGAGAAGGAAGTGATGGAAAGTCAGAGCCTCCAGTGAAACAGCACCTGGTGAATGAAGAGCCTTCAGACTCCGGGAGGTGTCAGGCAGAAGTCAGGGGGACGGACCTGGGGTCCCAGTGGGAAAGAACTTTTCTCCTCTGGGAATCAGAATGGCAAAAGAGAAACCTCGGGGCTGAAGTGAAAACAGGATTCCAGGTGGCCATGCTGCGTTGTGTTGCGTTAGGTTAGGTTAGGTTAGGTTAGGTTAGGTTAGGTTAGGTTAGGTTAGGCTAGGTTATGTGTCTCAAGTGCTCAGAGGCGCATCTTTTGGAAGGTGATTAGATCATGGTGTGCTAACCTCATGGATGGATTTGCCCTTGATGAGCTCATAACTGAATGCACTCTTAGGAGGCAGACTCCGCTTGGGAGAGTCAGGTCACAGGACACATTGCCTCTGAAGGGTGCATCTTTCCTCAGGCTCCTTCTCTCTTTCTTCCATTTTCCAGCTGCCGGGGGGTGAGCAGCTCTCCCCACCATTCCCTCCCACCATGGTATTTCTGCTTTGGTGCCAGCCTGCTATGGACTGAAACTCCTGAAACTGTGAGCCAACATGAACCTTTCCTTTTTTAAACTGTGTTGGGTGTTTTGTTCCAGAAGTAGAAAGAGAACAACACACACAGTGACAAGGCTGGGTACAAGCTGTTAAACCTAGGATGTTTGTGACCCTGAAACAGGAGCAGCCCTTTCTCATCCCCAGACCCACATGGGAGGAAAAATAATTATGCCTCACAGTCTCAGGAACCGAAATTTGAGGACAAAGGCTAGGGCTTTGCCCTACAAAAACCTCAGCTTTTTAGTCCAATTGGGAAAAAATCTGGAATCTGTGGGGAGAAGATAAAGGCACTGATAACCTTATCCTCCCTACAGTCATCTGTCTACAGCCAAGGGGACGATGGGGATCAGGGAGGTAAGCTTTCCTTCATTGGCCACCTGGCCCTGGTCTAGACCAGCCCCACCCACACTGTCCTAGAGCTCGGGGCTCTGGCACCTGGCAGATGAGTCTGGGCTATAGTTGGGAGATAGGTCTTGTCAAGAATATGTCAGCTGCTGCCCTACTACTCCAAGTGAGACCCAGCATGGCTGCATGCCCCGGAGCCTACCAGTGCCCCTGCTAGGCCAGAGCAGCTTGGCTTCCCGAGCCCACAGCCTTGCAGCAACCAAGCCAACCCAAGCTAAAGCTATTCCTACACCTGCCCCATCATGGGATGATTGAAAGCAGACTCACCCAGATAAAGGCAAGTCACCAGGCTCTGAACACTGACTTAGCTACTCTGTGTCCCCTGGAAACTTGGGCCTGGGGTGACCAGGAGGCCCCAAGCAACATCACAGGCCTGTGCATCCTCACTGTGAACCTGCAACACTACGCATGCTCCATTGTGTCCCTTCAACAGACCGTGAGGGACCTGCTAGCTGAACAAGGGGAACCAGGGGGCCTCCTCGCCATCACTCCTGGACAGTGCCTGAGGATTTCCGTAGCGGGTGGCAGCTGGTGAAAGGCCAGTGGAAAGCAGTGGAATTTTGCCACCTGTCCTTCATAGTGACAGCCTTCCCCTCTCAACTCGCCTCCTCCTGCCCAGCCAGCTCCAGCCCAGCCACAAGGCAATGAACAGGAGCTGGAGAGGGACTGAGGATCCGGCACACACAGCCCGAGCACTGGCCACCCACTCCTCCACCCCTGGCAGCATGAGCCCCATCATCAGGCACTAATTAAATCCCCCTAATGAGGAAATAAGGATGCAGGAGCCAGCTCTGCCATGGCCTCCCCGGCCCACCGCCCTCGCCTCTCCATCGGACTTATCACTCGTCACAGGATGTTTACAATAATTTTTAATTTGTGCAATTATTAATCACTTTTCTATCTGCCTCATTTGCATAATAATTAGTCATCTCGCTGTTTGGCATGCCTGTGAATGACAGTGTTTTAAATTGAATTAAGATTTTAATATTCTATTTTCCTGCTTTCTTCCCCTCCACACGCTAATCAAAGTCAGATTTGGCAGCCAGAGGCAGGGTGGGGAGGAGGTTGGCAGGCACTGGACTTGGCCCGCTCTGTGTGCTAAGAACTGTGCTGGGAAGGGGCATGTGTGAAAAAGGCAACAGCAACTGCCCCTCGCCCCAAACCCAGCACCTGACAGGTTAACACAGCCTGGGGAATGGAGCAGAGGTAATGAGTGGGGAGTGGGCAAAGGCACCAGGGGAGGGAGGGGCTACGCTGGCTCGAGAGCACCGGAGATCAGGAAAAGTGCTTTCATTTATTGTCTTTTTCCAAATAGGCTGCTGCTTGCAAGGGAAAGCTAGAAAGCACATTATAGGCCCATCACCAAGCCCTGGTTACTAGCCTAGGCTAACTTTGATGGTTTCCCATCCCCCAGGTAGAGAAGCAGGCTGAAGCAGTCCAAAATCATTGCAATTCTTTCAGTGTATAAGAAAACTCTGCAGTTGCATGTGATCCCCCTGCCCCCGGACACAGACAAACACACACACATACACACACACACCAACAGGCCCTCTAACCAGGCTGAATGCCTCACAGACCAGAAACAGGAGTGTTGGGTTCCCAGACAAGGAGCAACATGCAGGGACACCCTGCCCCATGCTGTGGTACGTGTGAGTCTATGATCTCTTTATTACCTGAAAGTCCCTCTTCTGACTACCCCAGGAATTCTGCTCCGGCCTCCCTGCTGCTATTGCTGTATTGCCTCACATGTTGCCATGGCAATCCCTGTGGCTACCCAGGATACCCACTGCCGCTCCAGAATTCTCTGCTTAGGCAGGGCAGCTCTCCCTGCAGCCTGCCTGGAATATATTTTCCTTTACCATGGTATGGTCAGCAGCACATAACCTGCAAAGCCTGAGACCAGCCTCCCCCTCCAGGTGAGTAAGGAGGGAAGACAGGAACAAGAGACTGGTGCTGGACAGATAATCTAGGGTCAGATTATCACAGTTTAGGGAGGTGGGGACCAAATTCCAATTCAGTCACAAAGGCTTTCCTCTAGCCAGAGCAGGGAAGGACCCCAACCCCGTGCAGAAATCCCTTTCTCCCACAAGGAGCAAAGCCTCCCAACTCTGTACTTAGAGGCGAAGGGAGGGAAAATCCCCTGGATGGGGAAGAAAGAGGGTCTTACTGGCAGAGTTAGAATTTGGTGGCAGAGGGAGGGCCGGTGGTTTCCAGGAGCTCTTCTCCTTCACAGGTCTGAAGTTGCCCCCTGCAAGCCATTCAGCAACTCCGGCAGAGAAGGTACGGGCATCCCTCAGGTCCCCTCTGACTCACGGTGTGAGGCCTCCTGCCAAAGCATCCAAGGGCTAATGTGTCTCAAAGGCACACCCCTCAAATCTAGTAGTTTTAGGAAACCATTTGCCTACACTTTGCCTGAAGGGACAGTCACAAAAACTGTCAGAATTCAGAAAGTCACAGTCCAATCCAAGAATGATGGAATTTCTGAGAAACCATGTCCTAGAGTTATGGGCTACAGGAAGCACACAACCTCCCTACCCCATCATACACCAGGCCCAGGGAAGCCAAGACTACACCCTCTGATACATCCTCACTCAGGGGTGCCCAGTCCTCTCCTACAACCAACTTCAGCCCCCATGGCCCTCTTCCTCCCACAGCCCCTGAATGGCAAAGAAGGTACCAGCGAAGGGAGCCTTTTAGGTAATGAGATGCATAACTAGTGCTGCAGCAGCCTCTGCTGGCCACCTTCCCCTTCCACACCTGACCTAGGGATAAAAAGAAGGCTGGGAGATCCCCCAAACCATGCTTACCCTGAGTTCTAGCTGACCTGTGACAATGCTGGTTTACACCTGACTTGTCATAATTATTAATCACACACACACACACACACACACACACAGAAGCATCCCAGTGAATGACAAACTCAATGGCCTCAATCACAGCCAGGTTCAGGGTCCCCGAGAGCGTGGGAGAAGGTGGAGAAAGTGAGCGTGGATGTGAACAACCCCCTCCCCAGGGTGAAGTTCTCCTTTTAGCCAGCACCACAGAAGAGCATTCAGAGTCTGTCCCTGTGCTGAGGCAGAGGCATCTTGTCTGTCCCACCTGAGGAAAGAGGGAAGGCAGATGTTAAAGGGAAGTATTTGACAGAAGCAAGAACAAAAGAGACAGAAGAGCAGACGCAGGGAGAGGGGAGGGAGCACCAGAAGAGTAAAGTGCGATCACCGCATGTGTCCAGCAGATGGCAACACTAAGCAGCCTGCTCATCCCCGCGCAGCAGGGCAGCCTCTTGCAGCGTGGCCTTGGGCACTGTAGATGTGGATTCAGGCCTCCTGGAAACTCTCTCCCTTTTTCCTGGTCTCATATGCTTTTCTCCAGATGACTCCCTAGCCTGAGTTAGGAAAATCTCTAACATCAGGAGTCATTTGCTGTGGCATTTAGAGGTCTAAGATAGCAGCCCTAGCCCCCACTCTGCAGTCCTTTGACATAGTGAAAAATAAGAGAACCCAGCCGGTATAGACAGGTATTGCTGAACTGCCTTCCCTTCCCCTGCCCCTCCAGCAAAGCAGTGGCCAGACCCGGGGAGGCCAAGGAGGTCACACCCCACACTCAAGCAACTGTCCTCTAGTGGACTGGCTGTGGGGGCTCAGTTCTAGGTGTCCTCCCATGTTGTCTCTTCGGGATCATGCTAATACTCTCCCTAAACATAAGGGCAAGTTTACCCCTTTGCCCCAGACAAGAGAAGATTATTGTGAAAAGGAAAAAGAAGTATCACCGAATCTTCAGGAAGATTTCAAAGATCCTCCTACCTACATTTGCACATGATTCATAAGATCGGTGCTACTGCATCCTGGAAGTCTGGACTTCCCTAGTTCTTAGCTGCAGCGAATCCTCAGCCCCGTGTTTAGTGGATTGAACAAATATTTACTGAGTGTCATGTACAGGGCAGGCCTTGCAGTGGACGTTGGAGACTGGCCTCTGTCTTTAATAAGCTCTAAGTCTGGCAGAGGGAAAACACACATCACAATTCACTGTACTACAGGGACATCTATAATAGAGTCGGGATGTACAAGTGTTATGGGAGGGAACCCAAAGAGGAAGCATTTAATTCTGCCATTCTGCCAGTAGCAAGGGACCAGGGGAAACTCCATGAAGAAAATGACATTTGCACTGGGCCTGGAGAATGAGGAAGTTTCTACTAGCAAAAAGGAGGAATAGGGCCGAAGCAGGGGCCTTGCTGGGCATGATGGCGCACACCAGTAATCGTAGCTACTTGAGTGGCTGAGACAGAAAAATTGCAAGTTCGAGGCCAACCTGGGCAAGTGAGTGAGATCATTCCTCAAAATAAAATTTTAAAAAGGACTGGAGATGTGACTCAGAGATATAGCACTTGCCTAGGAGGTGCAAAGCCCTGTATACAACCTCCAGGAATACAAAAATTTTTTTAAATGTTAGAAGTCCAGAGATCTGAAAACGTGGTGCTCTGCCAGGCCAAGTGTGAATTTTGGAGAGTACAGAGAAGAGGCAGATAAGCTTGGGTGTGAGGGGCCTTGAGATAAAGCTAAGGAGAATGAATGCGTGCTGTGGACAGGGCTTCCCCCTGAAGCTGCTTCCCCCACGCCCCTGGAGGGTGCTCCTGCCCTCAGCCTCCCCTGCAGCACTAGGGCAATCACGCTTCCCCCACCCTGCTCCCATACACAGCTAGACTCCCTGTCCCGGGGCCTGAAGGAGGCGGCTGAACATCTATCTGTCAGGAGAGTTCCATGTGCTAATGAAGCCTTCAGCTGGTACTGCAGCCATGACCATCGGTTAGCCTAGCTGACTAAACATCCTCTCAGGAGCTGGGGCAGGGTCTCCTGAAGCCCCTGCAGTCACTCTGGTCTCCTCCTACCCAGGGTAGAATAACCACCCCAGACCCTTGTATTCATTTAGAGAAAAAGCATAGGCTTTGGTAGCATTGTGGTCTTTAGCCTCAGGTTCCTCCCCTATAAAATGCCAACATCAGCAACAGATGTGTTGGGTGTGGTTGAGTCTGCTGCATGGACAGTATCTGCACCTTGTGCCCAGAATAGTACTAAAAAAATAAAAGACAGCTACTGCTGGAAATGGTGGCACACACCTGTAATCTCAGTAGTCAGGAGGCTGAGGCAGGAGGATCACCATGAGTTCGAGGCCAGCCTGGGCTACATAGTGAGTTGAAGGTCAGCCTGGACTATACAAGCAAGACCCTGTCTCAAAAAATAAAACACTTTTTAAAAAGATAGCTATTAATTGGCCTTGGGCTTGAGGCTGGAGATCTGAGGAATAGAGGCAAGTTGCTAGCCATAGGGTCTCATAATTCACAAAATGGCAAGATAAATGTCCTCAACGTGCCAGAAAAGCTCAGAAAAAGGGTCCATCAGTAACAGCTCCTACAGTGGGAGCAGTACCAAGTTTCCAAGTAGAACTGGGCAGACGGAGCCCCTCTATAACCTGTCACATCCCAGTGCCTCAGATGGCTGCTTGAATAGTGGCTTTGTCTTGTCAACACTTTCTCTTTAGTTCACATCTGAAGACTTTGCCAACTGTAACTCAGAAGCTAAGTGCTCTCTGGGATGCTGGCCAGCTAACCTGAGCTCAGGAGACTGGGTCCAGGTAACCCTCACTGCAAACTTCTCTCATGCACCAAGAAAAACCAGGTAAGGCCCAACAGTTCACTATGTTTAATGTTGAAAAAGCATAGAAGAATAAGAAAGTGAGATTTCTAGAGGATAAAGATCACTACACTGGGTCCAAAACCAACTGTACAGATGACAGATGGGACAACATGGCTGTATCCTCTCTTATTCTCTGTGTAAAGGACAGAGAGGACCTGTGACAATACTTAGCACAGCAAGAACCAATGGTGTGACTTGGTCACCATAAAAGTGAATTTAATCCCCAAATCTCTGATTAAAATAAAAGTCAGGGAAATGATATCTACCGTACACGGATCAGAGCATCTTGAACATTATGGTCCATGCTCACTCTAACTGGAATTCTGTGAGCTACAAAGGAGATAGTTGGCTTTTATAAGCCCCAAGATGGATAACTTAGAGGCTAGGGATGGTTCTCAGTGGTAGAACACTTGCTTAACATGCACAAGGCCTGCGTTCCATCTCCAGCGCCACACAAAAAAAAATATTTAAAAAAAATTAATTTAAAAAGATGGCTTCCCAGCATTTAGGATGCTGAGGCTGGAGGACTGCCATGAGTTCAAGGCCCGCCTAGGCTATACAGTAAGTTCAAGGTGAACCTGATTTACATAGTGAGACCCTGTCTCAAAAAAAAAGACAGCTTATTCAGACAAATGGTGAAGCCACAGGGAAAATGGCTAGAACTGCTTAGGTATGGAATACACGTATGTTACAGAGAGTGACAGAGTGGAAAGAGTTGAAACATGGGTGGGAATGTCATTAACGGAATTATGAATTGCCAGGAGGTCCCGAGACTAGAAGAGGTGTGTGGATTTCCTGTCCTTGAAGACCTTGTAGGGCATGGAGATCAGGGCAGGAAAAGACAAACATCTGAAGGGCCAGAGCCTGGCAGTTAGATTTGAGCTGGCAGCAGAGATAAGACATAAGTATTTCCATGGTCACCCACCCTTCTCCCTAGCTGTCAGTCACAGCAGTCTGTTGCTGGGGACATGGCTAACTCTACCTCATGCAGTGGCTTTCACATTCACAGAAGGCCCACGCCAACCTGACACTGACCTCAGAACTGACACTGCCATTCACTAAAGCACAGCTACCAACTCAGAAGCTGGGGACGGGCAACAGGGCTGAGCAGGGAAGCTACTGCCACCACGACCTAGGCCAGGGCCAAAGTGCTGCCCTTCTGCCACTTCCACGTACTCTGTAACTATGGGCAAGTGTCCAATAGTCACTCGGCTATCCAGCTTCTCCCTTGTTCCTCCGCTCCTCATCCCCAAAATTCCTACTGTCTCCCTCTTCCTAATGCAGAGTCAACAAGTAGAGGATACAAGATGCTTCCTGTCTTGGACTTCGCTCAGGCCTCAGAGGATCCAACACAGCTTTCGCTACAGTTCTCACTGCCCCTCCCGACCAAAACACAGCCTCTCACACCCATGGCAGGTAAGTCAGCACCAGACAGCCTGCTACCTCCACCCCGCAGACACTGCCCTTTCACCTACTCCACCGCCTCCACCTGACAACCAGTCAAAATGCCATTTCCTGCACTAGCCAAAATCTGCCCATCCTCTCCCAATCTCTTGCCTTGAACCTCAGGCACCAAGTCTGGTTCCACTCGTGTCCCAGACGTGACCAGATACACTTTCCTCCAGCCCTATGCAGCACTGGATGTGTAGCCTTGAAACTTTGGAAGAGGGAGGACAAAGCTCCTGATGTGGCTCTCGACACTGTGCACTCCTAGACTCTCCTCTCCCAGCCCCTTGGGAGACAAACTCCAAGGCATACACCTGTGTGGGTGGGGGGAGACACCCTCCTGACTGGAGCTCCACCTGGCTATCCAGGAATCCACCACTGCCACCTTCATCATAACCTTACCTACCCTAACCCCAAGCCTAAGCCCAAGCCCAACCAGTACTACTTTAAGGGCAAAAGTAACCACCAAAACAAGACTCCAGTGCTGATTCAAAACAAGTGCTCACGTGCAAGACTCAAGGCCTCAGTACCTGCTTTTGAAATGCTGTGTACCGTTAAATGCAGAGAACCATCCTCCACCCCAACCCCAGTACCAGTTATTACTGATCTGGCCTCAAACAAGTTCTAAGTGGTTCCTGTCCCTGCCCCCTCCTCCCCTTGGGGATGGCAGGTTAACGGGCAGGGAAGGCTGCTACAAGGCACATGGGCAAGAATCACTGGAACAGGCAATCACTACTCTTCCCCCTGCTCTAGACAGCCCCTCTCCTGGGGACAGAAGGCTGTACCAACTCTGCTCTTCTTCAAATGTCGCAGCCCTTAATCCCACCCAGCAACAGACTCTGGCTCTCCGCACAGAGTGTGACAACAGTGACCCTGGTGTTTGGGTAAGCGGTGGGGCACCACTGGTGCAAGACTCAAAATATCCTACTATTTTAAGAGAAGACACTGTTTATTAAGCCCCTACTACATACTAAACCTTATGCTAGATGCATTTCAGAGCTTCTTGGGAACATCCCCAGAAAGGGAAGTATCCTGATTTTGCAAATAAGGGAACCATGACTTGTTCCCCTACTGAGCCCCCTGAACAAGAGAACTGCCCACTAGTGGAAGTCACAGCAGGGGGTTGCTTTACAGAAGGAAGCCCAGGAGGAGATAGCCCCAGGAGATGTGAGATATCGTCTGGAGCCCCTCACCAGGGCACCACTCCAGATGCAAAACCCAAGATACTCCAGCCAGTACTTCAAGACTCAGTGGCTCCCCTTCAGTACAACCTGTGGAGAGTGTTTCCAGCCCAGGAAGGCACAGCCTCTGACGAACAATAGGAAGAAGCCCTCCCATTCAGGTGACACTTAGCCCAGCAGGGTACAAGTAACAGGAGACAGAGGAGTACCACTTGGCATAAAGCAAAATCTGAACCTTTGTTCCCAACTTACTCACCACCTATCGAGGGCCAGTCCTGTGCCCCAGACAGATGCCAGTGGTGGAAGCTTGCTGGCCCAGTCGGCAGCCCTGCAGTCCAGGCTTCCAAATTCAGATGGTCCAAACAGGGCAGGGAGGCCACTCTGGGATTCTATACTAAAGACCCTTTGATCTGATCTTGGGGAGACAACCCAGAAGGTAAGAGTGACATAGTTTGGGTCTACTATCCCAGTAGACAAAAACAGGAGGAAAGGTCCAGAAATAGGAAAAGCTTCCTCACACTTTGGAGGAAGTCAAGACCAGGGTTCACATTCCTCACTTTAATCTGTGATTCCTCTCATAGTGGAGGCCCTCTGCAGACTTCCTTCTCCCCTTAGGAGGATACAACATGAACACTGCTCATCAGACTTCCTTCCAAAGTCCTGTTCTTGGTCAGTTGATACTTCCAAGTCACATACAGGGCAGAAAAGTAGCACCAGTAGTGCACCTGGGTCATGTGGCATGTGTCAGCCAGTATCTGAACAACTTCCAAACCCCAGCATGGAGTCAAGTCCCCCAGCCAGGGCATCAGGTAAGTAACCAGCACTGTCAACAAGATACAGGGCATCTGTAGGGGACAGCAAGAGGAGGGCCTAATTTCTCAAGACAAAGGTAAGCACTTCAGAACTTGGTCACCCATCCATTTTCCAAGGCATACTTCTACAAGCACAACTGCAAAGAACAGAGTATTTTTGGAATCTCAGGTTTTTCCCCAGCTCAGCTTTACTTTTCACCTCATCTAAGAGAAAAAACAAATTGCCTGCTGTTCATAATAGGAGGTCAGATGCTTCCTCTATGCATCCAGGGGAAATGTAACCCCAAGTGCAAATCAGGAGGTGGAGTGGTGAGGCTTATCCACGCCCATGAAAGCTTGGAGACTCAGGCCTCCCACATGGCTGCTTGGGTCAGAATGACCCTACATCCTCTAAATCATTTCTATATGGTTAGAATGCCCGGCTCAAACCCAAAGACAGATATATGCGCTCCATGAATATTTCAGAAACAGAAGTCCTAATTCAGAGTTACAGATAAAGAGACAATCTTCATCCCAAAGTGACGGGCACACCAACTTAGTGATGACGACAGCTATTCTCCTCACTAGCAGACATACTTCCAATTCCTGGTTCCCAAGAATTCTCCAGGCTGCAGCGTCTAGCTGCCTACCAGGGTGTTTAAGAAACATTCTCCATGGCCCTATCCTGCGGCTGCAGGTGTCTCATCCTCTCTGCTGAGTCGCAGCATGATAACTGAGGAGTGTGAAAGGAAACAGAGATAAAATAAATTAAAATTTTCAGAGAAGCAATAAAGAAATTTTAACTTGAAAGAATTTGAAAACACACTGCCTCGTTTAGGCAAACCCATAAATGCAGGCAAAGCAGCAAGCCGAGGACGTAGTGCCCTTCTATTTAGTGACTGTGGACTGGCTCACCGGGGTCCACCCCGACCTACAGACACTTGTCTCCATGCAGCAAACACACCCAGTGTGTGCAGAAGGAGCCGGCCCCATGCTGGCCTCCCAGTACCCCTGTGCATCCAGAGCTGATCAAAGCAGGAGATGCCTATGCAGGGGGGAAGAGCACTGCCAAGTCTGATGGAGACACAGTGACCATGGTAAAGTGTCCAAGCTCTCTGTCAAGAGGTAATCAGCACAAGGGCCTTAACCCCTCCTTCAGGGGGCGGGCAACAAAGGAAGGACTTGGCCCAAATCTCACTCTTCTTAGGAAGCCCAGAAATTCGGCTTTCTCTAATCTCCAACAATTTTCAATCTCTGATTTCCGCCTGGCTGCACAAGAACCATGAGTATGCACTTAACATGTGCTTGACACATAGTATTGAATGAAAGACAGCAATTACAACTGTTATTATTTCCCAAAACATGCACTCCTCTTTCCCCAGCAGTGCTGTCTACCTCTTCTCAATCCCCTCGGAGAAAGAGTCAAGGGTAAGTGCCACTCTAACACATCCACCAACTTCCAAACAGAAACCGCGAGGAAGCCGTTCTCCCAGGCCTGGGGTGCTCAGCCCCTCAGGCACTGTGGACTTCACTCCAGACCCAAAGAGAAGCCCCTGGTAAGAACTACAGGGGCAAAACAGTCCTCTGCCCCCTCCTCACATCTCACCTTGCTACTAGGATGAGGCTGGGTGGGGGAGAACTCCAGGGAGAAGAATGATGTTTAAATTCTCGCTCTTTCCCAACTCAGCACAATTTTGAGCAGTTACTCTCTCCACACAAATGTTTCCTCTCCTGCCAAAAGAAAAGAAAGAAAGCAGGCCTTGCTAACTAAGAACCAGGGATTGTAGTCTTACTAGGGAAGGTCACACTCTTTGTAATTTCTTAGCTGAACGTGATAGGCAGTGATGGGTAACTTACTCCCGTATCAGCTGTTTGTACTCTGTCCCCTCCAAATAAGATGGGCTCACAGGCACCACTCGAGGACCAAACCACCAGGACTACCTACCTGCCCTTGTTTTCTGAAAAGGTGAAACTGTGTAAACCCAAGGTCGGTGACATGAGGTTTAACACAAGCAACTTCTCAACTGAGCACAGGAACCCATTCAGGTACAAAGGGGAGAGTGAGTCACTCCTTGCATGGCAACTCAATGCGTGTGTGGCAAAGAAAGCCCAGGTCATAAGGGAGATGTGGCTCACTCTAGCTCGGCCCCATAATCTCTCTGCTTAATTTCATAGGCCAGCTCCAGAATGTGGGCCTCAAAAAAAGAACATCGGGAGAGAGAGACTGCTCAACTAACTTCTGTAAAGATACAGTGTAAGAACACACATCTCCTAAGCAACTCATGTTTAAAACTGAACTCTCAAGACGGCTAGCTCAGTCTAGCTCAGCCCTCTCACGGGGCTGCCCAGCCACACCCTGACTCTGACCCTGCTGCTAGTGATACTAACTGGGCAACGGTGGTAACCTCTGCACAAGGAATGCCACACTGTGTGTCCTAGAGGTCACTGTATTCCAAGAGACCCTAGGGAAGAGGACAGAGGAATCCCCTCTAGCCAACAAGCCAATCCCGAAGTGTGAAGGCTTCTTCAGCCACCAACAATGAATTATATTCTGTGTGAACCAGAGCGTCTGCCTGTTTTTTTTTTTTTTTTTTTTTTGCATTTTTAATTGAAACATAACTCATACACCACAAGGTTTACCCTTTTAACACACACAATTCAGGGCTTCCTGCATTGCCCTTCCTTAAACCTAACCTGAGTAGAGAAGGCACCAGAAAGGGAGCCAAGGTGGTCTGAATTTTATCAAAAGAGAGAAAAGAAAAATCTTTCATGTACAGAAAGATTTCCAAAGTCCAAGAAAGAGTAATTCTGATCAAAATCTAAATACTGGTTATCTCTCTTGAAAATCTTCACCATACTGGAGATAAGATGGTGTTTCTGGATCTGAGGTGGGGACAGAAAAAGGAGAGATATGCCACTGAATTTTGCGACCTACATCCTTAAGGGAGTATAAGGCCTACTATTTTGGAGTCTACATGTATACAGCCAGGTCCTGTTTGCCTTAGTTCAGAACAGCATGTCACACTGCCCTCTAGGAGCCAGCCTAGGAAATGACAGCTGCAAACTAGACATGTGCGTCTTGGCCCTAAAGGGTGAGCCATTCTACACTGAAATGGAGAGAAGTTGGAGGAAGACAGTTTATACACTTGTGCCAAGGCCTACTAAACCCAGAGTTCACCTGGAACAGAGTCCACTGACTTTCCTTCCAGCCCAGTCTCCCCTAGAAAATACATCAAAACTCCTCTGTAATGGAAAAAAAAAGTAATTTAAGATTTCCAAAGTACCTAGGCCTAAAGCAAGTTGTTCCTAAGAAATTGCATAAGAACCCACAAAAACAAAGTTAAAACTTGAGCCTATATAAAATCAAAACTTTGCTGTGCAGAGCAGTATGACAATGAGCTAGGAGTTGAATATACACACTCCCACTTCTGCCCAAGGAAAGGAGCTAGCCTGAAGAATAGCTTACAATAGTATAACCTCAAAAGTAGAAAGAGCAGAATCCAGTGTCTGGAATCTATATTTCTTGGGGCCATTTTCTTTTTTTTAATTTTTTTTTTTTGTTTTGTTTTTGGTTTTTCTCCGGTACCGGGAACCGAACTCACGACCTTGCGCTTGCCAGGCAGGCGCTTTGCCGCTGAGCTAAATCCCCAGCCCCTTCTTTAAACATAAGCTTTTTATTTAATTTTATATTTACAGAAACATATAAAATAGTATACTCCATACTCAACTCCTCTAATGTTAAAATCATACTAAGAGGTTACTATTAGCGTATTTACGAACTATAGACGTTATTCAGATAGCTTGGACCCTATCCTTCACTTCCCCTGTGGTACTGGGGATTGAACCAAGGAACTTCACACTGAGCTACATCCCGAGCCCCCACCCATTTTAATCTTTTATTTTGAAACAGCACCCAAGGATCTTGCTAAGTCATTAAGTTGTTCAGGCTGGGCCTCCAACTTGCAATCCTCCTGCTTCAGCCTCCCAGAGTGCTGAGATTACCAGCATGCATCACCTCACCCAGCTAGCTTGGTCCTTTAAAAGAAGTTTTCAAAATGGAGAATAAACCCGGCACGGTGGGCACACCTGTAATCCCAGCACTCCAGAGGCTGAGGTAGGAGGATCATTGCGAGTTTAAGGCCAACCTGGGCTACAAAGTGAGTCCAAGGCCAGCCTGAATTGCAAAACCCTGTCTCCATAAAAGAAAAAAAGAGAAGGAAAAAATGGAAACAAAGCTTTTGTGAGGGGAAGAGGGGTTGAAGGGAGGGGAGAGGAATGGGAAAACAAAGCAGCAGCAAGATACATCATGTATAGGTACAAATTCCCTATGATGAATGTGATCATTATGTATATCTAAAATGTACTACTAAAAAAAGAAAATACAAAATAATGAAGAAAAGAAAGTTTTCAGTAGGGAATAAAGGGACAAGATAAGCCAGGCAGAAAAACAACACTAGGTTTTAGGTCCAACTCTGCCACGTGCTGACTTTGGGATCTTGGCTTACTTTGAGCTCTAAGTGCTTTGTTCCGTCTCACAAATACCAATTCTACACACACTTCCATCCAGGCAGGGGCTGGGGATTTAGCTCAGCGGCAAAGCACCTGCCTGGCAAGCGCAAGGTCGTGAGTTCGGTTCCCGGTACCGGAGAAAAACCAAAAAAAAAAAAAAAAAAAAAAAAAAAAAAAAAAAACAAAAAACATCCAGGCAGATTTCTTTTCCTTCGCCTCTTCACTCTCCATTCTAGTCCCATTCCATTCCTTCCCATAGACCCTATTCTAGTTCAAGTGTAAGATTCTCCTTAAAAAATGTTCCCACCGGGGCGCATGACTTAGTGGTAGAGAGCTTGCCTACCATAAATGAGGCCCTGGGCTCAACCCATGGCACCCAAAAATAGTCATTTTGTGGTTTTTTTGTTTTGCGGTATTAACCCTTCTCCCTGACCATTATCTCTGTGCCACAGATGAATAAACTAAAGCACAGAGAAGTTATGAAGCTTACCAAAAGTCACACAGCTAGCAAATGACATAGGTGAGATTCAATTTTAGGCAGTATGGCTTGAAAGCCCATTTTTTTTTTTTTGGTACCAGGAATCAAACTCAGGGCCTCACACTTGCCAGGCAGGCACTGTACCACTGAGCTATATTCCCAGCCCGAGAGTCTACTCTTAAAAACTATACAATATTGCTTCCCAAGTAATCCTTAATTTCCGTAAGTGTTGCCCATTTGCACTCCAAAATAGGCAAACCAGAAATTCTCCATGAGTTTTCATTTTCTATGAGTTGTCACTTACTTATTTTTGCCAAACTAATAGCTCTAAAATAGAAATTCAGTTTTAATTTGCATTTAATTCATTACTTGTGAGGTACTATACTTACTAGCCTCTGGATTTCTCTTTTGATTTTTACCTATTCATGTTCTTTGTATATTTTAATTTTGTATTATCTTTTTCTTTCTGATTGATGAGTTCTTTCTATATTCAATCCCTTATTCAGGCAATCCCCAGTCAGTTTTAGATACTCCAAATGAGTATAAACTGCTTGCTTTAATTATGAAATAGTCAAAGCAATCAGATCTTATGGATTGTGAAGAAATTCATCACTGCCCTAAGGTCACAAACATATTCATCATCTGTTCTTACTAGCTTTATTTTTGTTGTTGCTAGGAATCAAATCCAGGGCCTCATACATGCTAGGCACATGTTCTATTACTGAGCTACATCCCCAGCCCCCTACTAGTTTTATTAAGCTATATTTCATTTAGGTCCTTAATTGCTTTAGGGTTTTTATTTTATATGGTATGAGGTAGAGATCCAGCTTTATTTTTGTCCATATACTAAGCCAATTTTCTGAGCACCACTTTCCATCTCTATCCCACTAGTTTGTTTTTTTTGTTTTGTTTTGTTTTGTTTTGTTTTGGTCCGGTACCGGGAATCAAACTCACAACCTTGCACTTGCCAGGCAGGTGCTGTGCCGCTGAGCTAAATCCCCAGCCCCCATCCCACTAGTTTGTGACACTATCTTTATCACATCTCTCCAATATTCCTGAATCTAATTTAGCAGTAATTCTTGTCTTCTCAGAAGAAAGATCACTGAGAAAGTTTTTACTCATTACCAACTAGATTAATGAAAACTCTAATCATTCATTGGTCACAAGATCCCCAAGTATTCATTATTAGCTGGAATTCTTCCCCAAACACAACACCCAGTGAGGAAATGATTTTAAAAAAATAAATGTACATTTATTAAAAACAGAAAAAGAAAAACCCTAGCCAAACAAACCTTGGAATACAGAAATCACCACCTCCCGCAAAAGCCAGCTACAGTGCTGGCACACCTCCAAAGTTCAGGTGCCTCAGTCCATACATCAGGTCTCAAGTATTCCTCTGTGGTCAAAACTGGCATTCAACAAGTTGCTAGTCTGTGAGGGTCCTGAGTATTAGCACAAGCAAATGTTACAGCTAGGTGCCTGGCTCTCCCATGCCACTACCCCAACCCACAGCCACTGGCACAGCCTCAGAGACTACATGTCCTCAACACTCCACTTGTAGGCAAGTTCCTCCACTGCCTTCTTGCTTGCAAGCCTGGCAAAGCGCCTCTGTTCAAATCCATTGGATCTGTAATCAAAGGTGACATAATTATCAGTCAGAACCCTCCATCACGTATTTGTTTTATTTGTTATTTTTGTCTTTTTTGAGACAGGCTCTCACTATGCAGTTCAGGCTGGCCTTGAGCTCACTTTGTAGCCCAGGCTGGTCTCGAACTCACAATGATCCTCCTGCCTCAGCCTCCCGAGTGCTGGGATTACAGGCGTGCGCCACCACGCCCGGCACATATTTGTTTTAAAAGAAAGAGAACGGTTCATAATGAATAGGGAGAAAAGACATATTTAAGGTATATGCAAATAGAATAAAACAGTCAAAGTACCCAATTTATCTTCTTAGTCCTTTCCTGGACCCTTCTCCCACTCTCTGACAACTACTCAAACCCTTACCATTCTCTAAAGACCCAGCTAACTCTTAGCTGATGTCCACATCTTATATTTCTCCATTCACTAAACAAACATTTACTGAATTCTCAGTGTACACTAAGCATTGCGGTAAGCACTGTAGGAAAATTAGTATGACACAGTGCCTGTCCTGTTAAACTGACAGATAAATAGAGCTGTTAAAGACAGACAGTTAAACAACAAAAACAAAAAGCATAATCTATGGTAGAGACACGCATAGGGCATCACAGAGACAATGGCGACTTTATTCAGTCTAGGGGAGGAATGGTTTTGATGGCAGGAGAGGATTCACAGGAGTGGCGCCTAAGCTAAGTCTGAAACAAGAATGACTTAACCAAAGGGATGGAGGTTACAAACAAGGGACAGAAGGGTCAGGAAGTCACTTCAGGTCAGAGCACAACATGAAGGACAAAAGCAGAGGCACAGAAGTAAGAGTTATTCTGGTACATGCAGGGAACCAAAGGCAAACTAGTGTGGCTAGAGCCTTAAGTATGACAAAAGGAGTGGCTATGATCAAAAATGGAGAGGCTGAATCATAATGAGTTCTGTCATACATGGTAAAAAGTTCGATTTCATCCATGGGTTTAAAGCAGAAGCATAAACTGCATTTCAAAAAGATTACTCTGGAAGATTACTCTGCAGTAGCCTTGGCAACACATGATAAAGGAAGAAGGACAGCAAGAGGGATAACATGAAAGGCAAAACTAGTAGAACTTATTGATTGACTAGAAAAAACGACAAAGGAGAAGATAAGTTTGCCTCACTGGTTAGTAATTTGAGTGAGCACATGAATGAGACTGCCACCGGCCACGATAGACAGCACAAGAGCAGAAGGAGACTTACAACAGGGGAAACTGTTGAAGGCAGGTTTGAATATGTTTTATTTTAGGAATCTCAAGAGCATATTAAGAGAAATCCATCATGGAATTAAATGCTCTAAACTAGGCTGGAAATACAGACTTGGAATCAGGTACACATACTTCTGGAAGAAAAATTTCAGCACACCAGAAATAGAAGAGAACTTCATCAACTCAATAAATGTATTTACAGAAGAAGAAACTTTGCATTTAATGATAAAAGAATGAATGTTTGCCTGCTAGGATTAGGATGAAGGAAAAGACATCTGCTCTTACTGGTAGCTAATTCAACAGTAAGAAAATAAAAGGCATCCAGATTGAAAGAAAGTAAAATTATCTGTATTTGTAGATGGCATAATTCTCTAAATATAAAATTTGATGGGATCTATACAAAGAGATTATACAAAGTGAGCTTTACTATCAGTATAAGAAAACAACTGACAATATTTGTTGCCAAGAATAAAGTTCAAGCTTTTAAGTGTAAATGAGAATTCTGAAAAACTGTATGCATCACCATGAATTTGTTACCTTCCCATTATTTAAAGGCTTCCGCAATAAAACCAGAGATGATACTACCAAAAGCAACTTCTTGATATTATGTAATTAAAATATATCAACATTTAGAAAGTCTGAAAAACTTAACTAGTATTTTACAAATGAAAAGTTCTTTGATATGGTTTAACTAATCAGAAAGGACTAGCACCTGTTGAGTTTTTATACAGCATCAAAAAATACAACACACCTTCTTTTTCTACTACCTATATATAAGGCAGAATTTTCTTTCCACACTTCAGCTAAACAATTATTTCACAATAGGCAAATGCAGAATCCAGCTGTTTACTACCAACCTAAACATTAATGAGATATGCAAAACTGAACATCAACATTGTTACAGTTTGTGTCTAGATGTTTCCCCAAAGCCTCCTGTGGTCATGGGAAGGGAGGGCTTTTCAGAGGCAGCTGATTCTAGTTTGTGATTGGTTCACTGTCTAGTGCTGGGATTGGGGTGTGAGTGCTACATCCGCCCTAGGGTGGGTATTCTGCACACAATATAAGGGACAGAAAGTCTTCTCTCCCTCTCTCCCCTTGGTTGCTTTTGCTGTCTTCCACAGCCACAGCTGCCATGGTGTCCCTGTGCAATATGTCACCCTGCCTTAGAGCCAACTGATTATGGAGTGGGACCTCTATAAACTGTGAGCCAAATAAAACTTTCCTCCCTTAATTTTGGGCATTGGATATTTTGTCTGAGCAATGAAAAAAATAACTGAGATAAACATCATCCTTCTATTTCCTTGTTTGGAAAATATTTTTCATTTAAAAAAATAATAATCATAGTAACACTTTTTTTTTGGTACCGGTAATCAAACTCAGGACCTTGCGCTTGACAGGGACGCACTGTGACGCTGAGCTACCTCCCTGACCTTTTACATTTTAAACATATCACTTTCATTTATACAATGGTAAATATCAACAGATATATACCATGTAAACAAAAGCTTTTTGGACTACTCAATGTTTAAATTATAAAAGGATCCTGAGATTAACAAATTTGACAATCATTGTGCTAGATGTAAGAACAATACTCTCTAGTAGGCAGAAGGAGATGAGACCCACTATGTAAGTAGAAGGACTGACACTGAGTAGGAGCAGATACAGTTCATCCATCGTAACAGACAGGAAGTTAGAGTACACAGGGGCAGACACTGGTAGGGAGATGAGGTGGTAGGGATCTGTGAGACATTACCAGAGACTTACTCCTAAAACTGTGAGGAGAATGATGGTTCAGGCACATTTTAAAGATAAAACAAACAGAAGTTTCCAGATCACAACAAATCACCCAACCCCTCCAAACTTTAGAAAATATTAAAAATGACAAATCTCCAAACACAAAGGGTATCCTATCTGGACCAAGTCAGTTGTTTGGCTAACATAGTGGTGGCGAAACCATGGCACACGTGCTACAATGGGTTGTTTGTATCATTAAAAGCTCTAAAAGGCTCGTCATCACTGCCCTAGAAATTTTAAAACCATTTTGAAAAGGAAACTAAAAGAGGAGGAATAAAAGAAAAAAAAAAAAAAAGCACGCTACTCACCTTGTGATTACAGCAGAGAATCAGTGTAGTTTAAGAATGGTAGTGGAGGTTAGGGTCAGAAGAAAATAGGGGAAAAAACATAGGAAATAGTCTTACCTGTCCACTCCATCCCAGCGATATCCAGGCCAAATATTGAATCTGTTTGGAGGAGGTGCTAGGCCACTATATCGAGGTCTCACTAACGAGTGGAATAAAAAAAAAAGTTACTTATGCAATTTAATTCAGAAAATGGATGGTGATGGGGGAAAAGTTTTTAAATCCTACCCCAGAAAGAAGAGCTACCATCAAGAAAAATAGCAACAAAGGCTGTAGGAGTAAAAGGAACCCATCTACATTGTTGTTAAGAATGTAAACTAGTACAACCACTATGAAAATCAGTATGGAGATTCTAAAAATCAGTATGGAGATTCTAAAAACTAAAGCTAGAAATTCCATCTGACCTAGCTATTCCCCTCCTAGGCCTCTTCCTGAAAGAATGAAAGATACCATATTACAGTGATACATGCATATGCATGTTTATAGCAGTACTATTCATAATAGCTAAATCTTGGAAGCAGCCTGTATGTCCATAAAGAGAAGAATGGATAAAGAAAATGTGGTCTTTACATACAATGGAGTATTACTCTGTCAGAGAGAAAGGTAAACTTAGGTCATCTTTAAGAAAATAGATACACCTTGAGATCATAATATTAAGTGAAATAAATCAGAAACACAAGCTTAAGTATCACATGGCTTCTCTTATATAAGAAACCCAAATTATAAATAAAGAGCAAAACAAAAAACAGGTAATAGGAAGTAGGGAGACAGATATTTCTCAGATGGGAAGATCAAGAGGTGGAGGGAGGAGTGACGGAGGGAAGGGAAAGGGGACAAAAATGCAATTAGGACGTGCTGTGTACATGTACCAACTCCACACAAGGAACGTGAACATCACATATTGCAAACACATCTCTACCAGTTGAGCTCAAACTCCCAGGCAAATACAAAGAATTTTTAATCACATGGGAAAGCCCTCTTTGCACATAGCCATGTAGAGGCACTCCAATAATTCTCTCTTCACTAAGCCAGCTCCAGCTCTGAGGGTCCCCAGTCTTACCTCTCTTGTTCTTGTTCGCCTTGGCCTTATTTTTCTTGATGAAGTTGGCCATGGGGTCTCCCTCTCTTTCTTGTTCTCTCAGCATCCGATCCAGATCTTCATCATCAATATAGCGGGCCAGAGGCTTTTGCATCTCCTTCATTGCATCCTCCACATTTTGTTGCTGTTGCCGGCTCTGGGCAAGCCTGGGTAGAAAAAAAACATTCTGTTGGACATTTTCACTCCTACATGGAGATCCACAATGTCACATTCAAAGAAACTCCCCCTGGCAGTGACCTACGTCAAATATTAAATAAAGGGTAAAATCCCCAGAATATCAACTGCAAGTATAGAATCTATCAGTCTTGAAAAGGAGATTCAGCATACTGAATCTCCATTCCTAAAAACAGCTTTGAAGAAAAGCAAAGAAGCAACATTTTGCAGGCATTGCAATCTTGCTTTCACTTTCAGTGCTGCCCTTACCCTTTGCCCCACTGGGCATACAGCTCTTCTCGTTCTGAGTCCTTCTCTGCTTTTCTCCTTTGCTCTAGACGTTCCAGTTTCAAATTCCTCTTACGACCAGATTTGTCACGAAACACAGTTTCAGCAAACTGGAATTCAGCTGTGATAGAAGAAATCTTTTTAAGATAAATGCCTAAGGTCAAAATTAGAAATAATATTTTAACAAATGAAATCAACTACTTGAGATTTTGATGCTGGATAAGAACACCTGCAGCCAGATCATAAGTGGTTCCTACCAACATATAGGTGTATATTGAGTACAGGCCTAAAAACTGATGTTTTCAGGAGAGAAAGAAATACATCTCCTGAAAGATTAAAATGATGCATAAAAATAAGAGCTCAGATCTGATAGCAATTAAAAATTCAAACTATCAGGTACCTTACTGTATCAGCTACATTAAAAAGAAAAATAAAGCTACACAAGCCTAGACTCCATCTTGCACTTTCATGTTTACCTTCAAACACCATGTTTTCTTGGTCCTGTTTTTTGAGCTCCTGCTCTTCTTGCTGTATGTCAGTTAACACCAACCCAGTTTTAGCCCCAGAATACATGTGCGCAGCCTGTGCAATGGAAAAGGGAGCACCCAACATCAGTAAGGCAGTACAGCAAGAGGCTCCATGGGTCTACATGATTAATTACATTTTTGCCTGCAACAGCCACACCACAAACACTAGCTTTTATTCCACTTATAGACCACAGGATTCACAACATAGAAAAAAAGAGAGAAAACCTAATTTCATAGAAAATGTAATAGTACTATCAACTTTATGAGTAAACAGAAGCACATACCAACAATTCATTAGAGGGAGAGCTAAGCACTTGTATTTCTGACTCTTAATATATAAACTGCACATGTGAAGATTCACTCTCTCAGATCACCTGGTCAGAAATCTGTATTTAGCTCTGGGCCATTCACTAGAGACCCAGAAGATAGAACATTCCATTTAAAGTGCAAATTTAAGCAAACCTCAGACCTTCACATTGAGGATACGTAGTAAGGATAATAACAAAAGATATAACCTTGTGAAAACTTCCTACAAATCTCCACTTTGTATCAAGATAGCAAATAAACCCCAAACCACAAATTGAGTACATATTAAACTGCCCAAGGACTACAGGGATACATAAACTGTCAAGGGGTCCAGTTAAACTAGGGATCTAACTCTTCAAAGAGAGTTAGGGACAGGCTGGTCTATGCTACCAGGACCCATCTTCTCAAACCCTACTGCAGCAAAGACTTACCTGAGAAGTTTGCCTTGAAGAAAAACATGCACATCACAGGCTCTTCCTTACCCAACTCATATGTAAGATTCCTTTACTGTTGCTGGTGTTCTTTGTAATGTGACTACTCAAGGTTCATGTGTGTTTCTCTTTTGTTAACTCATCAAGCTTTACCACAGATTTAGGGTTTTTTGTCTTTGTTTTTGTTTGTTTTTTGTCCTTTTTGAGAAAGGGTCTCGCTATGCAGTTCAGGCTGACCTTGAGTTCACTTTGTAGCCCAGGCTGGTCTCGAACTCACAACCATCCTCCTGCCTCAGCCTTCCAAGTGCTGGGATTACAGGCGTGTGCCACCACCCCTGGCTTTATCACAGATTTAAAATAAAACAAAATACTAACACCCCAGACAATATAATTTGTAAAAGTAATTTTATATTTCAAGTACCTCTCTTTAAATTCTAGATACAGAAACCAGTAGTTCAATTTATAATAATAAATCATTAATATCAAATGCCTACTTTGTCCCAGACACTTTGCTATGAGTTTTAATTACACTAATTCATATTATATTCTCACAAAAGCCTTATAAAACAGAAACAAAGGGGCTGGGGATTTAGCTCAGCGGCAAAAGCGCCTGCCTGGCAAGCGCAAGGTCGTGAGTTCGGTTCCCGGTACCGGAGAAAAACCAAAAAAAAAACAGAAACAAGATTTCTTCACATTTTACAAATGAACAAGCTGAGCATCAGTGATATCAAGTGTCTTTCCTAAATCTCAGAGAGTAGCAGAAGTAGGATTCAAATCTGTGTTCAGTATGACACAGGACTGTGTTCCTAACCCTACTCTGCAAAGGACAGTCCTCAATTTATTCTTTTAAAAACAAGTCTTCTTTCAGTGATAATGTATACCCATGTGTATAGTAGCATAATTCATAGTAGCTAAATTTTGGGAGCAGCCTATATCTATCAACAAATGAGGGGATAAAGAAATGTGGTATTTATAAACAATGAAGTACTACCCTGCCATAAAGAAGGATAAACTTGAGTCATCTGTAAGAAAATGGATGTACCTTGAGACCACAATGTTAAATGAAATAAACAAGATACAAAGGTTAAATATTACACTGTTTTTTTTCTATGAGAAACCAAAATATAAACAAAGAGCAAAATAAAAGATGGGGAACAGGAAGTAGAGAGATGGATCTTTTCAGATGGAAAGGGGGTCAAGAGGTGGGGGGAAAAGAGAGGGGAGAGGGAAAGGAGATGAAAAAACAATTCAGGTATGTTATGTACAACTCCCCAAAGGAATGCAATCCTTTTGTAATGCAAATGTGTACTAATAGAAAAAAAAAGCCAGAAATTTTTCTGGATCTATTAAAATGCAATTAGTGGAACTATGAGATTGTAAGGCAGAATCTCTTGAGGTACAGGTTGAGCATCTCTAATCCAAAGGTCTGAATTCCAAAATTCTGCAAAATCTAAAGCTTTTTGAGCATCATGTTAGTGCTCAAAAGTTTCAGAAAATCAGACACAAGAGCTTAAATATCACATGATTTCTCTTACATGAGAAACCCAGAGTGTAAATAAAAAGCACAATAAAAGATACAGGAAATAAGGAGATAGATCTTTTTGGTAAAAGCAGGGAAAACCAAGAGATAGAGGGGGAGAAGGGAGGAGAGAAGAAAAAGAGGATGAAAAAAAAGTTAAGATACATTCTGTACATGTGCCAACTTCCCACAATGAATGTAATCAATTTCAGATTTTTGTATGCATATACTCCAAAGTATATATGGAAGTCTATGCACATATTCCAAAATCCAAAAAACTTCAAAATCTAAAGCAAGTCTGGTCCCAAGCATTTTGGATAAGGGATATTCAACCTGCATTTAGAAGTCCAGCCAGGCGTGGTGGTACACATCTGTAATCCCAGCACTCCAGAGGCTGAGGCAGGAGGATTGCTCTGAGTTCAAGACCAGCCTGGGCTACAAAATGAGCTCAAGGCCAGCCTGAACTGCATAGTGAGGCCCTGTCTCAAAACAATAATAACAACAAAAAAGTCCATCTGAATTAAGTTATAGCCAGTCCTGCCTTTACAGAGACATCTCCAAAAGTCCTTCTAACTATGATTCATTGTACTAGTGAGAGCTACTTCCTCCTCCTCTTGTTTGATTCTCAGGGATTTATATAAAGCTAAAATGTAGGAGTCCCTCTAAGAGAGAGAAATGACTCCTGCATATCTCTACCTTTTTTCCAGGAGGGTGACTCCTTCGAGGTGGAGACAGATCGGAATCAGAAGATTTGGTCCTTTGTTTCCTCCTTGGTGGAGAGAGGTCAGAATCAGAGCTACAGCGTCTTGGTCTATTCCTTGCAGGCGACAGATCTGAATCAGAAGCCTGGTGTCCTGGACTCTGTTTATGCCGTGGAGGTGAAAGATCTGAATCAGAGGCTTTCTGGCAGTCACCTGGGGAGAAAGAAGAGTCCATCATGTGACACTGATGTCTCCTAGGTGACAGGACTGTAAGAAATAGCCTATGGCTGGGAGAAGAGCCTAGAAATTAAAGAATAAGTGAAGGCTGGGGAAGTAACTCAGTGGTATAGTGAGGCCTATACCCTCAAGTGTGAGGCCTTGCTTCAATCTTCAGTATGGTAAGAAAATTAATTAACTAATCCCCTTAGAACTTTCCAGATAAGGTAGCACATTTGTTTAATCCTCCTGTAAAGCACAATCACTAACCTAAACACAAGCATGGAGCAGGAGGATCACTGTGAGTTTGATGCCAGCCTGGACTACAAAGTGAGTTCAGGCCAGCCTGAACTACATAGTGAGACCCTGTCTCAAAAGACCAAAAAAAAAACCAAAACAAACAAACAAAAAAAACAGCCATAAAAAGACACAAAAGATTTCTAGAACTGCTTCAGAAAGTGGCAGGAAGTATAGGATAATTATACTCAAACTGAGGGGAGTGCTTTGAAGGGGGCAAATGTGTATTTTGCTGTAACAAATTTTAATTTAAACGTTCACTGTATATTTCAATTCCCCCTCCTAGTACATTTTTATATGGGGTGGAGAGGGTAAATATAGACATATAAAAACTTTCTTTCCTGTCCCTGTCATTTTTAAACTCCCCTGAGCCCAGCCTCTCATTCTACAAAACTTTTCCAAAGAAACTCATTCTCAAAAGAAAGCTTTCAGAGATTAAGTCTCTCCCATGGCAGTCATAATGTTTACCTTTAGAATCAAGCTGCTTCTTATCTACAAAATGGGATTTTGCTTGCTTTTTCCGTGCAGGAGAGAGGTCCGAGTCATATTCACTTGTGATGTTCTTCAGGAGTGATGCATGAGTGGGTCCTGACCCCTTCCAGTGTGAAAAAGTCTTGCAGGAGGCTCTTTCTGGGGTTTTACTACTTTTGGTTCTGGGCAATGAATGAACAACATCAGGGGCCAAATTGGAGAAGTCATGATGGCCTCTTCTTGGATGCCGTGTGTCTGAGGAGTCAAGAGTCCTCCTAGGTCGGGATTTGCCAGAGGAATCGTTAGGGGGCCTTCTGGAGGAAGACATACCTGAGGAGTCAGAAGGGGTTCTTCTAGGAGATACATCTGAAGAATTACGATGAGACTTCCTAAGCGGGGATGCATCTGAGGAGTCATGGCGGACCCTCCTCGGAAGAGATGTGTCACAGTCGTGACGGGCCCTCCTGGGAGGAGACGGATCCGGGGTGTCGTGACGGGCCCTCCTGGGAGGAGACGGATCCGGGGTGTCGTGACGGGCCCTCC